AAAAAAAAAAAAAAATAACAAACAGAATTCTGTAGTAAAACTAAGTCAGTTTCCAGCACTGCTCAGAGTTTTACTATGGAGAGAGACTCTCTCAGTAATCCTATGCATAAATTCTTCAGATATTCTTAAAATACAAACTTTGTATTATTTATACTTTCCTTCCCCCCCCCCCCGGCCAGGAATCTCACTTTCCCAAACGTATTCAATACAACCTTGATATTTGGCTACCTAATCTATTCAATCTCCTATATTGGAAGGTTCCCATCATTCCCATTATAGTGTCCACGGGTCACCAGTGAATACCACAACTACCCTGTCTTCAGAAAACTGTGCTGCTAAGAGTCTTTCTCAGGGCAGGGCAGCTTTAGGAAGACAGCACTCAGCGAGCCACATGTAGGAACCATTGGCTGAAGAAACTGGATCCAAACAGGAGACAGCAGAGGCAATGAGGCACTTTTGCTTTGGCTGCAGGGGCTGGGCACAAAAGGCAAAAAAGGTCAGTGTGGAGAAGTGGAAGAAAAGGCAACTGGGTGAGTATGCTTCCCGGTACTTTCTGACACTTGGCTAAGGCTTCCTGGGACAGGGGCAAGCAGCTCCAGAGCTGCATGGTTCTGGGGCTACTTGCCATTCTACAAGGCACCTTGCAGAGGGCCAAAGATTGGAGGGGGGAGGGAGATGGCAAGTAGGAGGAGTTGGAGGCAGTCCCTTACTTTGCTAAAGCTCAGGGCTGGGAGGGACCAGGATGTCTTGGTTTGGGGTGGGTAGTCACTTAATGACCTGCAATTCTCAATTAACCACCACAAGATGGAATGCCAGGATTGCCATCGAAAGTCCATGTGGTCACGTGACAGCTCGTTTTATGACGCACCCACTGACAACTAGTTGTGGTTAGTAAATCAAGGGCTACCTGTAAAGAATTAGCAAGGGCTTAGGAACCATGATAGGTATGTAAGGCCAGAGTACCACAACTCATAGAAGATGCGCATCTACCATGAGACACAACAGATTTTTTAATGAACAGCCAAGCCCAAGGAAGAAACCATAAACAACTGTATCCCTTCAGCTGGTACTAAGTTATACACATGGGCTGAATATGTTATATGCGGCATCGCTTTAATCAAACCATTCCACATGTCCAACAATATGAGGCAGAATGGACCAGATACAGATTTTACACAAACCATACATCTACAAGATTTTATGCATAATTAAAGTACTAGTGATCCTAAAATGCTGAGCATAGATCAAAGGAGATGAGCATATTTCTTCTAATCTAGGGCTGGCAAATTTTGAGGCTGCACATTGCATTATTATTTATTGCAAACATACACACACATCCTGTTGTTCCCTTCTAGGATAAGCAACATGCAAAGGGCAGGAAAAAAAGATAAGGGATTGTAAACGAAGAAAATAAAAGAAGATAAGAAAAAAAGGGAAATCTAATTTAATCTGGATTAATCTAGCCATTCCCTAAAACTCTCTATACCTTTTTATCCTTACAAACCATCAAGGCTTCAACCATAACCACATACTAATTTATATACTGATTTTTATTTAAAATTCTTGTCTTTCTTTTTTAGGAAATCATCAGCATCGTCCAAACATGACTCTCCTGTTCTTCTCTTCCTTCTAACCCTTTTCTTCTTATATCTGTCATGAGATTTGATCCCTATTAGTTCTCTGTGTCGAAAGCAATTAACTTATTCTTTTGTACTAATCACTGATTTTTACATTCAGTCCACTACACTGCAAAGGAACTATGGAGAAATATGTAAACATTTTTTTTAAAAAAACGAGAGGCAACGGCCAGTTCTTCCCTCAATGAAGCCAACACTACTGCACAGGTCCAACCACACACATCACTTCCCAGGCAGCCAGGAGGGGCATAGAACTAATAAAGAGATGGTTAGGTTAGCATTCCCCAGAGGAACTGGAAGAAATGCCTCTCCTTTACAGCGAATATAAAGATATAAATCAGCTTTGAAGAGGTTTTAATTTTCCAAGTTATTTTAGATAGATTACAAGAAAAGAGAAACTAAGCTAGGAGCACACACAAAAAATTCTAAACCTAAGAAAATTAATTAGCTCTCCATAAAATTTGGCTAAGAATCACTCATTTTCTTAAAAAATGGAAATCAACATCAGTCTCCTTCCAAACAACTGTGACATCTGAAAAAACCACATTTGCACCATTTTAAAAATGGCAAAGTGCTTGAAAAATACATCGGTTATTCTTCTCACAGCCTCTTCTCATCATTGACCAAACCTGCCCAATAAAAATGTTTTCAACAAGCAATTTGTAATGTAACCACTGTTTGTTTCTGTTACAGGTTGACTGCTATAGAATAAAAGAAGCTCATTAAAATCCCTGCGATCCTGAAATGGAAGGACAGAGGGAAGAAAAAAAACCAAAATATTTAACAAAGAATGCTTTTAGCCTAAAGCTCTTTTCATTTTCAGTATTTTGTTCCTCAATTTTTAATTTTTCAAAGCAATTAAAAGAGAGCAATTAGTTGTGAGAACACCTTTCATGTTGGTCATACTGGGAGGATGACCGTACTAACATTTCTTTTGTTAATATTATGAGAATTTAATGAAGAGAATCATGCACGAACAGATTTGACTAGGCCAAAAAAGGAAATGAAAATAGAGATTATTCTTCTTACCTTAGTCGTAAAACAAGATTCACAGCACATGGAACAGAGCTATATTCATTTGTAATAGCAGATCGTGCCTTAATGAAAAAGGAGGGAATACATCTTTTTAAATTGCCATATTAAAAACTGGGATGGGTTCAATTCTTTAAGGTAATTATTATCCAGGTTAACTTAGAGGTCATCACTAATCTGAAATTGCAAGTCAGATATTAAAACTGGCATACATTACAGCAAGGTGGCAAAGGAAAAAACCAATATAAGTCTATTCCCCTGATTAATCTGATAAATGTATGGTATTAAAACAAAAGCCCTTAGAATTTTAAACACTTTCCCAGCTTAATACGTTGGGGTACTACTAACAAATTTCTTGTTTATTTAACAGAGCATTACATTTTATGAGAATCCCAGCAGTGATTATTGTTTGCATCTTTATTGCATAAAATAAAGGATTAAATAGCTGGAAAGTAGCCATAGCCTTTAGTAACAATTAAAAAATTCACATTGATGTAAACAAAATTTTGTGACATTGTTCACATATGACTTTTAGCAATTGTTCACATACGGCTTTCAGCAATAAAGTGTTACACTACATCTTCACTTCAAATCAGTATGGGAACAGTCAACTTTGCCTGACTGCCAAGTTATACCCTAGTTTCCTTAACCGGTAACCATTATCAATGCTGTTCGAAAGGTGCTTTTTCAAAAGGCAACTGGACGTTTCGCTCCTCATCCAAGAAGCTTCTTTAGTTCTGTCAGAAGTGTCGGAACTTGAAGTAGCTCCTTGGATGAGAAGTGAAACACCTTCAAGGAAAAACAAAGTCCAGTTGCCTTCTGAAAAAGCACCTTTGGGACAACCATAACCTGGATGACTGTGAATCTCCATAGACATTATCAATGTTGGGTTTACATATCACACTCAATCATAGCAATGTTCCAATATCTCAGGGGCTGCCACAAAGAAGAGGGAGTCAAGCTATTTTCCAAGGCGCCTGGAGGCAGGACAAGAAGCAACGGATGGAAACTAATCAAGGAGAGAAGCAACCTAGAACTAAGGAGAAACTTCCTGACAGTTAGAACAATTAACCAGTGGAACAACCTGCCTCCAGAAGCGGTGAATGCTCCAACACTGGAAGTTTTTAAGAAGAGACTGGACAGCCATTTGTCTGAAATGGTATAGGGTTTCCTGCCTGAGCAGGGGGTTGGACTAGATGACCTTCAAGGTCCCTTCCAAATTTACTATTATTATTATTATTATTATTATTATTATTATTATTATTATTATTATTATTATTATTATTATTATTATTAAGTCTGGCACTTTTCTGGACTGAGCTGGTATGCAATTTGGGGGTCCTCCTGGACTCATAACTCCTGCTCAAGGAGCAAACGGCAGCCATAGCTAGGGAGGCCTTTACACAGAATCATCTAGTGAGCCAACTGCACTTTTCCTGGACCAGGAGGCCTTGTTCACAGTCAGATCAGAAGTGCAATGGGCTCTACATTGGGGCTGTCCTTGAAGACTACCTGGAAGACTCAACTGCTCCAGAATGTGGCAGTGCACACAGTGATGGGTGCTCTTAAGTTTATCCATAAAAGACCCCTGTTATGGAAGCTGCACTGGCTTCCAGTTTTCTTCTGGGTGCAATTCAAGATGCTAGTTATCACCTTTAAGCCTTATATGAGACAGGACCAGGTTATCTGTGGAACTGCTTTTCCTTAAGGATGCCTACCTGTCCTACCAGAATAGATACAGTGGGCATGCTTCAAGTCCCTTCCTTTAAACTTTGCCACCTACAAGAGATGGGAAGTGTGCCTTTTCTGTGGCAGCCCCAGCCCTATGGAAAACTCTGACCCACAAAGTTTGGCAGGCCTCTACCTCCTAGCCTTTCAAAAAGCACTGAAGACCTGGCTTTACCTCCAGGCTCTGGGATAGGATGAGGTCAAAATGCATATTGGAAGCTTGACTTGGCCTTGGTTTTTTAAAAATGTTTATAGTTTTATATGCTTTTTATGTTGTTTTAATTCTTGATTGGGAACTGCCCAGAGTTTGATATAAGGTAGGCAGTTACATAAATGCTTAATGTAATGCAATGCAATGCAATGCAATGCAATACAAAATACAAATATGCAATGCATATATGTATTTTTTAGCTTAGCCTATGGTGTGGATTTAACCATTATGCCTGGTCATCAATGATTCATGGCTGAACATTGTATGAACCAGATCACTATGGCTTATTGAACAAGCCATGAGTAAAGAAACACATAATTTGAGAACCTTTTCAATCTTTAAACCAGTTTGTGGCCTAGTGAATCTGTAATTAATGACAAACTGGGATTGCAAGAAAGCTATTACAAGGCCACTTCAGTCAAAGTCTGCGTCTACTAGATCACACAGTTTGAGTGCAAACTAACAAATCTATGCAAGATATGAAATGTTAATAGTAATAATACCTGAGAACCTTTTATTGACAGGTTCTGTATTTGGTCAGGGATATTGCTGGAATACATGGAAATCTGTTAAAAAGAGTTTAAATCTTTAGAAGATGGCACAAAATACGTTACTTAATACATCCGCAATGCAAAATAGTAAAAAAGCAGGAATTTTTTTAAAAAAATAGCAAGCAGGATTTCAAACAAGACTTGATGCTGTATTTCCATTAAATAAAGCCTGTTAATCCTGCATAAACTTGTGAGAATAGCAGTCTTATATGTCACTGAAATTCTGTCTGCCCTCAAACCCTCCTCTGCAGATTAAGTGAGCACAGAAAGAACAAAAGGGGAAGGAAACATTAAGCCTTTATTCATTTATCATTATACTTCAAATAAGACTCCAGAGCGCAAAATTCTCTGGACAAAGTACTAAATTACAAAGAACATTAATAAATTCTGAATAGCTAAAAAACCAACTGCTAAATATTGGCTTTCTAATTCAAGTTTAACAACAGAATATAAACTTACGCATATGGAGTTGTTTAAAAGTGGCACACAAGAACTAATGCATGCAATCTTATTAAAAACTAATATTGTCACATTACGCATCAATGAGTTGTCCCTCAGATTCTAGTTATTACTGAAAAGCAGTATGGGTTTTTTAAAATTGAAATCTACATCTTGTTGAAAATATAAAAAAGATGCTGAAGTTCAAATTGTAAAATATTATTGAAAATTACCATTTTAATACTCACATTTTCATGCAAACACAGAGAAAAATTCAGTAAACACACACTCCTATTCACAAAAAGAAAGAAATAACTCTGACCATTTACCTCTGCATCTTCTTCTTTTACTCTTCGTGACTACAAGGCAAGCATCACAATTAATTAGTTACCAGCTGAGTATCAAAATAATGAATGTTTACTTGAGCTATCAAGTGGTTTCCCAAAATTACCTTCTCCTGGGAAAAAGCAGCCTTGCCTTCTTCGCTCTTCTCATCCATTTCATCATCACTCCATTCCCAGTCCCCATCTTCTGTCTTGTGGAGATGGCCACTAGAACCCGGTACTCTTCTAACCTAACAAAAGTACAAAGGCAACATTGAAAAGAGGCATGAAGTTGCGATGATTAAATCCCTGGTCTAGGATTGGGAAGGCCTAGCTTCAAACTCTCACTTAACTATGGAGCCCCCCTGGATGAGCTGTGGCAATTCTCTCCATCCAAGCACTCTCAGAGGGACATTGTGACAATGAACTAAGACGCTCTTTCTTCATCTTATTTGTATTTGCTGTTGCTTTGATAGCTCCATCAACACTCAGATACATGTTTATGTTTTAATATTTGGATATAATGAATAGAATAGAGCTGGAAGGGACCTTGGAGGTGTTCTAGTCCAGCCCTCTGCTTAAGCAGGAGAACCTATACCATTTCAGACAAATGGCTGTCCAGTTTCTTCTTAAAAACTTCCAGTGTTGGAGCATTCACAGCTTCTGGAGACAGGTTGTTCCACTGGTTAATTGTTCTCACTGTCAGGAAGTTTCTCCTTAGTTCTAGGTTGCTTCTCTCCTTGATTAGTTTCCATCTGTTGCTTCTTGTCTTGCCTTCAGGCGCTTTGGACAATAGTCTGACTCCCTCTTCTTTGTGGCAACCCCTGAGATATTGGAACACTGCTATCATGTCCCCCCTCGTCCTTCTCTTCATTAAACTAGACATACCCAATTTCAGCAACCGTTCTTTATATGGTTATATGTCCAATTTATATTGGATTGCTCTTATTCCTCAAAGATCTAAGAGACTTGGAGAATGATTTAAATGAGAATAAAGACTACATGCCGAAGTGGAATTTCACTCCATTTTCTCCAACCAATGTGTTACTTTAAAAAGTAAATTATACATCAAGAAGAAGAAAAAATATCAGTCTTTACTTATCAGCAATTCAAGGGAAACCTACTTATTAAACTGATTACAAGAATAGCAAATACCACAGTGAAAATAACTGACTACTTGGAGGTGGGAGAGGAGGCTCCCACAACAAAGTATTGGTTTGTCTCTTACATCAGAGGTCCCCAACCCCTGGTCTGTGGACCAGTACCGGGCCGCAGCATGCCAGCAACCAGTTCGCACAAACAAACAAAGCCCAATCCGCAAGATGCAGGCAACACACAAAACCATGCACCCTCTGGGCCGCAGAAAAACCTCTCTCCACGGAACCGGTCCCTGGTGCCCAAAAGGTTGGGGACCTCTGTCTTACATTATCGAATGAGGATTTTGCCTAAAGATGAGGATCACTAATGGCCACAATTTTCCAAGTATTCTCTTATTCAATTTGCTTTCATTAAGCTACAACACAGAAAGATGAGAAAGGAAGAGGAGTGCCAAGGAATATTTTTCTCTGCCTTTGAAGGAAGAGCCTTACTAAAATGAAACCTTCAATACTTGATTTTCTAACACAGGTTAATGGAGTTAAGATCACAGAGTTGTTAGGAGCCAGGCTAATGTGGCTTTTTAATGACATCACTTTGTGAATGTGTGATGCCTTCAATTGTCAAACTGCTGGATATAACCTAAGAACTAGCAGCAGCCAGTAACACAGGCCAAGTCACTAAATCAGCGACTAATGTTGATGGGTCTACAATCACAGAGATAGGGAAAATGCATTTTCTGAAATGACACCTTTACCCAACTACGTTTTCCTACTTTGACTGAAGTACACACTTACAAACTCTATTTTGTCTTTGCTGTCTTTCATAGCCAGCAGAAGCAAGCTAGGGCTAAATACGTACTTATAAGAACAGAAAATAGTTCACTGCCAGTGAAAGAATAATGCCCATTGGGAAAAGAGGAGAAAACTCCCACACAACTGTATAATGCTACTGAATCTCAGCCTCTGTCTTGAGGGGAAATTCTGGGAAAGAAAAAAAAAGTAAGGAAATAAAGAAGAACATTTTAAACCAGCGGTTCTCAACCTATGGGTCGCGACCCCATTTGGGGTCGATCGACCATTTCACGGGGGTCGCCAAGCAAGGCTGTCCGCCATTTTTTTCCCCTTTTCCAGCGGGTGCCTTGCCTCCCTTGGGCTGGGCCAGTTGGTGGTCGGCCTGCTCCATCTCTGCCGCTTGCCAGCTACGCCTCGGCCGGCGCAGGGGACAGAACCATGCAGGCGCAGCGCTCCCGGGCAGGGAAAGTCCTCGTCTTACGACCGGTTTAGTCCTCGACTTACGACCGGTTTAAGTCCTCGTCTTACGACCGGTTTAGTCCTCGACTTACGACCGGTTGGGGGTCACGGCATTAAAAAGGTTGAGAACCCTTGACGTGATGACCCGGTGACGTGATGCCCTTGACGTGATGACCCGGTGTCTGGAGGCCGTGAGGGTCTGGATGGGGAGGAACAGACTCAGGCTCAACCCGTCCAAGACCGAGTGGCTGTGGTTACCGGCGCCTCGGCATAGTCAGCTGATTCCATCGCTGACTATAGGGGGCGAAACTCTGGCCCCCTCGGAGAGGGTACGCAACTTGGGTGTCCTCCTGAATTCGTGGCTGACGCTGGAAGACCAGTTGTCGGCCGTGACCAGGGGGGCGTTTTATCAGGTTCGCCTGATTCACCAGTTGCGGCCTTTTCTGGACCGGGACGCCCTACGCACGGTCACTCACGCCCTTGTCACCTCCCGCCTGGACTACTGTAATGCTCTCTACATGGGGCTCCCCTTGAGGAGCACCCGGAGGCTCCAGCTGGT